ATGAAATCTGGCGTCGTGTCCACTGTTCTGGCAACACGAACCTCTGTAAAGCCTCCTAGTGCTCTGGAATAGTCCACCAAAATCCCACCTTGGTCCCCTCTGTTCTTCTCTTTGCCACCCATACAGTGTTCTGTTCCTTCTACCCTCTGTTTTTACAGAATTATCTCCCCGTTTTTGTGCTATGAGTTATGAGCGTAAACCCTAGACTACAACATAATGGTTGTATTTATAGACTTAAATTCTAAAATCCTAATCCTTGTAATAATAGAGACAGAGCCCTAATGTTACCCCAAGTCGGCCCATAAATCAACTAAGATGTATCCATGTCGGTTAAACACACTGTTTTCCTAGAGACCTTAGTTAACTAACGTAATAACCAAAAACTCATTTAACTTATTTATATCAAAATTAATAATTACTAAATTAATCCATTTAAACACACAAGCTAATTAATTTAATTAAAAAAAATACAAGTAAAGAAAACAATCTATTTAAATCAACCAATAAAATAAAACCAACAATTAATTAAAATAAAATCAAACAAATAACCAATTTGACACATAAGCACCTAGCCATAAAAACAAATTAAAATTTCACACAAAATAAAATTTAAATTCCAATTTTATCCTTTAGAAAATTAGGGGTATTACAAGAACCGACCACATAAGTCAATCTCGAACTTCGAGACATTGTGTACGGCCTTTCTAGCCCAGTATTGCCGAAATAAGAAGCAAAAGAAAACCATCTCCAGTCTCTTCACAATTCGACAGATGAAAGGAAAAGGTCTCCAAACCTTCTTCACTCGGTTTAACATGGAGTCTTCAAGTATTCCAGACTGTAATTAGGCTACAGACATAGAGGCATTCAAAATAGCCATGATCTAGGGCACACGGTTCCACTCCTCACTAGTAAAGAAGACTCCATTAGACATGTCGGAATTGAACGCAAGGGCACAAAATTACATCAGACTCGAAGAGAACAAAATGACAAGGCAGTAGAGGGCAACGCTGGTTACGGTGGAAAGCCGACCAAGAGAACGGCCAAGCACCTCAATAACTCAGTGAGAACCACCAAGTATCGAAGGTAGGGCTCGTGAGAAGAGGTCGCGAACTACAGAGGTCACACTACTCAAAACCACGTTGGCAAGACTGTACCAGGAAACCAAGGGTAGGAAAATTTTCTAAATTCCTCCACCAATCAGGCAACCAATGGATTAAAGGGATCAGAGTAAGCACTGTGCATTCCATAGTGATTTTGGGCACCTAACCAATTATTGCAAGAGTCTAAGAAGACAAACAGAGGCTTTGATAGCCAATAGCGAGTTGGCCGAATATCTAACCAACCCAGGCCATCAGAGGCCATCCGAGTGGACCAAACCAACCCCAAAGGAAGCAACAGACAGCCAGCCCATTCGAGTCATTAACATGATTTATGGCCATCCGGAGGAAGATGAGCAGCTAGAAAATTCTTACAGGGTACAATTCAAGTAAGCTCACAAACTACAAAGGAATGGGGAGATCAACACAATCAAGTGCAAATTAAGTTCAACCCAGATTTCCTTCTACGAAGGAAATCTCAAGAGGGTGCAGCAACCACACGAGGATCCTCTGGTGATCAGCCTTCTAGCAGCAAACTATCTAGTCAAACATGTCATTGTTGACCTTGGAAGCAGTGCCAACATAATAACCAAATGGACATTCGATCAACTGAAAATCACTCCAAATCAAATCCATCCCACCGGAAACCCCTTGGTAGGATTCGATGGAAGACGAGTAGAGCCAGTGTGCGTAGTCACACTATTAGTCACTGCAGCCAAAAGAACTTTGAAGGAGAATTTTGTGATAGTGGACTGCCCATGGGTTATTAGAATCTTCTGTTGGGCTTGTTTGGAGTAGTGTGGGTCATGACTCACTCTACGAGAGACTTAATAGGGCCTTGGGGTGGGGCGGTTGTGGGCCTCCATGCTAGAGGGTATTGGAGGATGGTCCCTTTGTGTCTTTGGTGGTGCCTATGAAGGGAGCGTAACTGTAGAGCCTTCGAAGGAAAGGAGGCCTTGACTGCTATTCTCAAACATAATTTATTTCCTCTCTTTTTTTTTTGGGGATCAGGGAGATTATGTGGCTCCTCGGAGGAGTTTATTGATTTTCTGTCTTTCTTGGCGTCTTAGCCATTTTATATTTGGGACGCATTCCCCTTTTGAACGCTTTTTTATTGAATTTTTACATATACAAATAAAAAATAAAAAGATAAGTGGACATCCACCCAACCTACAATTTGCTCATGGGCCGAGGCTGGATACATCGAATGGAAGGGGTCCCTTCAACCCTGCACCGAGTCACGAGGTGCATTAGTCCCAACAGACATGAAATCATAGACATCTGGGGAGATCAAGTAGTAGCGAAGGAGTGCTATCATACTATTATTGTGCCATATGACAAGGGGAAGCAGCCACTGAAATAGCAATTACCGAGCTCCTCTTGGCCTGTTTTCAAGTGGTTTCGGGGTTGAAAATTAATGTGGGGAAAAGCGTTATTGTCCTTGTGGGAGAGGTGCCACAGATTCAAGAGCTGGCTGGTTACTTCATGTCCTTGTTCCCTTTGCCCAGCACAGTGGCAAGGAGGCTTAACCAGATTCAGGGGAATTTTCTGTGGGGTGGCATGAGTGAGGAGTTTAAATATCATTTAGTAAATTGGGAGACAGTGTGTACCCCCATAAAGAAAGGAGGGTTGGGGATTCGTAGGCTGGAATGGGTAAATAAAGCTTTACTTGGGAGGTGGTTGTGAAGATTTAGGTGCGAGAAGGCTGGTTTGTGGAAGAGGATTGTAGCTTGTGGGTTTAGAGAAGAGAGGGGCGGATGGATGTCCTGTGAGGTATCTTCTCCAGCGGGCTTGGGTGTTTGGAAGGGTATTAGGAGGGGTTGGGATGAGTTCTCTAAGTGAATTAGGTTTAGAGTTGGGAATGGGAGGTTCATTAGATTTTGGAAGGATTTGTGGTGTGGGAATGTAGTTTTGGAGAGGAGATTCCCTCGTTTGTTTAGAATTATTGTGGATAAGCATGCCATGGTTGCTGACCATTATCAGCTTGATAATGGGAGAGTTCATTGGGATGTGAAGTTCTGCAAAAATTTTAATGACTGAGAGATGATGGAGATTACAGAGTTGTTGGGTTTATTGTACAATCAAGAGGTGGAGAGGGAGGGCAGGGATAGGATGGTATGGGAGGGAAGTCCCAGTGGGGTGTTTGAGGTGAGATCATATTATCGGAGCCTTACGGAATCTGTCCACACGGCCGATCATTGGAAAGTTGTTTGAAAATCTTCAGCTCCAATTAAGATGGCATTTTTCACATGGACGGTGTCTCTGGGAAGCATTCTTACTATGGACAATCTAAGGCGAAGATGCCAAATCGTTGTGAATTGGTGCTTTATGTGCAAAAAGGAAGGAGAATCTGTCAACCATCTACTGTTGCATTACCCAATTGCATCCGACATTTAGGCCATGTTCTTGGCTATTTTTGGTGTGGATTGGGTTTTGTCAAAAGATAAGAAAGGGATGCTGGAGACATGGAGGGGGAGGCATGTGCTTAGAAGAGTTAGAGACGCGTGGAGGACTTCTCCCCTTTGTATATGGTGGGGCATGTGGCGTGAGAGAAATTCGAGAGCCTTTGAAGGAGTAAAATCCCCCATTTGGGTGCTTAAATCGAGAATTTTACATTCTCTCTTCTTTTGGGTGAATGGGAGAAGCAGCTCCTCCTCGATTAATCTTTTAGAGTCAGTAGATAATTTGCATTTGTAAAGGCATTTATGGTGCCTGCATCTTTTTATTGTCAAGGGTTTGCTCCCCTTTGGTTGAGCATTTCTATTTATTGAATTATTCTGATTTACCTATCCAAAAAAAAAATGAGTTGTCCAGTGGCTTCATTGTATCCCTAAGGTTCTTTGCCCAGGAACCAAATAACATAATCACCAAGTAAAGTTGTACAAACAACATTAAAACAGCGATATCTGGTCACCAATGCAGTGCGCACTTGTCTGGTCTGGATAGGCTTACATAACTTCCAGTTTAAGTCTTTTATCTGTTTTTGGTTTCATTGCATGTTCCTTTGTCTCAACTATACCACTAATCCTAGTGAATTCACAGACTTCTTTATTGTTATTTTGGTTCCTCTTCACAATAGTATACATATAGCTTCAGCAATTTTCATGTATCATGATAGAGACAGGATCAGAAATAACTTTTTTCCAACTTATGAATCAAGATCTTGTGAACTACAGATTTGACGGATCTTTGTTTACTGGAAGGATTAAATTCTGTTTCTTCTTCCAGTATTTAAAATGTTATGGACCCAATCTACAACCATTTCTGGAACCAACCTCCTTAGATGCAGAAAAAATCGTAAACGAAGAGAAGAAAAATAAGAATATGAACTGATTTGTAGAGCCTAATTGTGAAGACACTCGTGTCACCCTTATAATCTTGTGAAAACCTATGAAGTCTCTGGATTCTCCAATGGATGTACAACATGCTTGGAAATTGAAGCACATAACAAAGGAATTAGGAATGAAAAACATCCCTTAAGTACATCGTGCTAAAAAATGGTTTTAAGTACATCGATCAATGGCAGATATTGATATGTTTTAGATCAGTTACAAGTTTTGATTACAAAAAACTTAAAAATTGAAATACCTGAATCCAAGTGACAGTCAAATTGGCCAAACTACCTCCAATTTGAAATCAATATGGAAAGAAACTAAGGCATAAATTATGGGACACGTCATAGACTCACAATCTTTAATTGTATCGGATCAAATAGTAGACTAACAGCAGTGGCGTTGCCAGAACATCGTAAAGTGAAATATAAGCATATTTGCAGTGTTTAAGAACATAAAAAATGAACTAGTGAAAAAAAAAGAGGCAAAAACATTTAAACTAGTGAAAAAATAAACTAGTGAAGACGGGCCACAAAAAAGCAGAAAAGTAAGAAGTCCGAGAATTACTTACAGCAGTACATAATCCATGTCGGATATTAAGGTGTCAGCTAGGTAAGGTTCTGTGAAGAGAACATAACTTTGCAAAAAAATTTGCTTATTCTGCTTGTCAACTTGTTTGACAACTCGTATCCTCGTGACAGCAAAAACAGAACATTCTTGAATATCATCTTTGGTGGGGAATTGAACCAAATCATGCCAAATCAAGTCGAACATATCACCATGGAAGTGAAAAAATAACGGTTTACAAGCAATATGAAGATCATAGGTAGAAAGCACGATTTAAACCTAAGATAGGCGCTGTGATCGAAATTTTGAGGTCCAAATCATATCGAATAAGCCGCTAGCATCATTTTTATTAACCCAAACCCAGTATAAAGTATTGTCCAACACTGCAGGAGGGCGGTTTCTAGCGATGTCACATGGTAAATTAGGAAAATTAGAGTCTAGTATTTCCCAAGAATCGCCTGTCACGTCATAGGCAAGGAGGAACTTGGAGAACTTGGAACCCAATATGATCCTTTTGGAAGTGTCATGATAAACTGCAAACAATCCAAGATCGGCTTGTAGACAGCTTGGAGGTTTTGAAATAGGTGTCGCCCTCTTTGTGCACGGGTCAAATACCTTCCCGCGCACCACAAGGGTGTTATTTTCATCATAAGAATTCGGGAATTCGCTGAAGATATAAATCTTACCATCAACAGCCACCGCCCTAATGTACGATTTTACGTGGTTCATAATAGTACCCTTTTTCCACCGCCCCGAGATGCTGCTAGCATCCTCAGACAGGATGCAGGAACCATAAAAACTGTGTATTTTGGAGCCCAGACCCACACAGCAGCTCGACCATGGCATCATCTTCTTCTTCGGCATTGGTTTGATTGCAATCAGGGGATTTTTTATTCCGCACTCTATCTTCCTTCTCTTGCAAGTCGGGCAACGGTCGACATCCTTCTTCTTGCCTAATTTAATTGCGTACCAATTCGTTTCTGTTTGAAAATATTCACCTTTATCTCTACCACTTTCAGAATATTCACCCACACACGTACGGAGATAGACAATTTTTTCGAGTGCTGCCATCAATCTTCGTCGCTCTTCTCCTTCTCGATCTAGGGTTTCACAGTCGGAACTCGCAATGAAGAGGTGAGGCCTCCAACACCAAGGTCGGTCAATGAAATAAATATGGATGGGCCACACAAGAAAAATTGTTTCCAAACAAAAGCCTGTTAATTTGTTTTGAGATTTGGAATTATAATTGGAAAAGACTAGGATTGTAATTAAAATATAATTATGTTTGAAATAAACTGAAATTTATAATAAAAAATTAGTAAAAAGTTAAATTTTGTACTTGTTCAGGGAATTAGCTTACAAAAATTTCCTTCAAATCTCATAAATTCTGATTTCCTTTTAAAATCCCATGATTCCAAACAAATCAAATTTGATTTAATTAATAAAATATTGTAACAAATACGATAACATTAATTATAATGAAAAAAATATATTGTTATGTTAATTAATAAAAGAAAAACATTGAGACAAATAAATAAATAAAAGAAAAACAAAAGGATAATAATCACGAGAAATAAATGAAATTAAATAATTTTTATAAATTTATTACCTTACCTTTTTTTTTTTTATATACAAATTGATAACCACATAATTTATACATTATTTAACTCTAAAATTATATTTGTTTGTTGTTTATTTTATATTATTTTTTTTAATTATGCTATTTTTGTGTTTTTCTAGGTTATAGGTGACTTTTAAGGGGGGAAAAAAAAAAAATCAAATCCAATATCTAAAGAGGCTCAAGACTCTTTTGTGCATACTTTACTATTTTGGCCATAACTCTCAACTCCGGTACCGTATTAATGCAAGCCCAGATCTAGGGTTTCACATTTGGAACTCGCAATGAAGAGGTGAGGCCCTCCAACACTAGGTATTTAATTATTTATTGTTGGATTAATTTTATTTTATTCATTTACATGAGTGTATTTAATTATTTTCAATTTGATATTTATAATATTTTAATTAAGTATATTTATTTTTATATTTTTGGTAATTAATTTTGTGCTTTGATTATGTTTGGTATTTGATGTGTAGTTAGATTTAATTTTGGAATTTTTGTGTAATTAGATTGAGTTTTGGGGTTGTAATGGAATTTGACAAAACTTTGGAGGCAAGTTGGTAATTAATGAGAAGTTAGAATTTTGGGACTTGGGATTCTTTTTCTTGGATGCCTTGGTGAGTTAGGATTCTTTTCATTGGATGCCTTGGTGAGTCATTCGACGCACCAAAAGGAATTGAGAAAGAAAAAAAAAGAAGAAAGAAAAGGAAAAAGAGGAAGAAGAAATAAATAATGATGTGGGAATTAAATGATGAGGTTGGAAGTTATTTGTGTATAAATAGGAGAGGGGGTATTTGGGAGAAAATAGAGAGAGTGAGATAAATGATCAAAGGAGGAAATTGGAGAAGAAGAAGAGAGGAAGTAGAAAAAGGTGGCTGGAGTTGATGAATTTTATTTCCGGCGAAATAGATGGTGTGGTCAATAGCTAGTTGTAATAAAGTGTGTAGTGTGACCAAATTTAAATTTAGAGAATGCCACTACCACTACTAACTATAAATGTAACTAGAGTAAGTAGAGATCGTCCTAAGGGAAATGAGGTGTATTTTTACTTGGAAATCAATGTTGAATTAGTAGGTTGAATGATTAAAGATGGTTGGGTTGGTTAATTAAACTATAATTTAAACTTAATAGAAGCAATGCGAAGCAACTAGAGTAAATAAAGTGTAAAGAATATAATAGAAAGGTCTTGGGACTTAGAGTTCACCACTAAGCACTACCTTCCTAGACATTTAATTTTTGATGGATTAGGGGGATTGTATATTGCAAAAGAGAATGTGTGCCATTAATTGAATTCTCAAGCATGAATGGCCAAGTAAGCATACATTGTCTAGCCAAACTAATGAATAGCACAACATATCAAATTAAGCCATTATGCCTTCTTTAAGTCCACAATTAATGTACATCATCGAATTAGAGAAATATATTACTTGCATTCATAAGCATGGAACATCAAACAACAAGCATGAATTGTCCTCTTATTTAAGAAAGTAAGGCAACTACACTACAATTAGGCTAGTGGCATGAAAATTAAACTAATTAAATTAAGGAGGAGGCACAATCCATCAAGAAATAAGTATGTACCATCAAACAAATCACAAGAGTAATCTATTTAAGCACTACGCTTTAACCATTACTAGATTCATAGTATCAACACACATAGACATGCATCAATATCACAAAATCTAGAAATAAACACATGAACATTAACTCTAGCATACATAGACATATGGATAGAATTAAATGATCAATTGAAAGTTTTAAACCACATAAATCATTATAGAAACAAGATTCATATATATATAAATTGTCAAGACAAATATTACAACAAAATCCCCTTTAATTACAAAGCATCAAAGCCTAGGAGGCATGCGTAGGGCTATCTCTAGCCCCAAGAGAATGGTTTAGCCACTCATTGATGTTGTCATCCAACCCTTAAGGGCTATTTTCATGGTAGAAATGATCTTCTTCTCCTTAGTGGAAACCCTAGATGAGTGGAAAAACTTTCCAAATGGTGCGTATATCTCTCTCTCTCTCTAGAATCCTTCTATCTCTATGTTGAAAATGGTTCCTTTCTAAGTGTATCTATGGTTCTCTTCTTCTCCTCTAAATAGCCAAAATCCTTATATACATAGATACATTTGAGCTACCTATATAAGGATTTTGGCTATTTGGAGGAGAAGAAGAGAACCATAGATACAATTAGAAAGGAACCATTTTCAACATAGAGATAGGAGGAGTCTAGAGAGAGAGAGAGAGATATACGCACCATTTGGAAAGTTTTTCCACTCATCTAGGGTTTTCACTAAGGAGAATAAGATCATTTCTACCATGAAGATAGCCCTTGAGGGTTGGATGACAACATCAACGAGTGGCTAAACCATTCTCTTGGGGCTAGAGATATAGTTCTCTTCTATGGTATCTATGGTTCTCTTCTTCTCCTCTAAATAGCCAAAATTCTTTTCTATGTTGAAAATGGTTCCTTTCTAATTGTATCTATGATCAGACCTTGTGCACTAAGACCTCCAAATAATTGCACTATAAGCATACCTTTTAATTGCTGTAACTCTGTTTTTCTCGCACTTGAGGTAGTTCGATCGTTCACAAGGGTGCTTCAATCGATTGAACTATGGCAATGCATTTTTGGAATAATGACAAAACTGAGATATTTTCGGGATATTTTGGGAAAAGGACAAAAGTGGTAGGTGGGGATAAGATCAAAAATGTTCGATCGATTGAAAAGGGAAATTTTCTGAGAATAAGGACAAAAAGCTCGATCCATCTTGGCATGGTTGGAACGATCACTGTGCGATCGATCGGAGCTTGTTTTGATCGATCGAAGAAGACTATTTTTCACTACTTTGCTTCCACTAAGCTCGAGATTGCTTCTTTTCAGCTCTAATTCAGCTGAATTGACTTATTTTGGGGATAAGTGCTTAAAAAGGAAAATAACACAAAATTAGACTAAAATGGAAAAATAAAATAGAATATGGTACTAGAACATTCAAGCTTAAGAGGTTTAAATGCGCACTTTTCAGCGCTTATCACACCCCCAAACTTACATATTACTAGTATCTAGCAATGAACTACGAAGAAAATAAAGAAATGAATAACTATACAACTATGAACTAGAAAGAAATAAATGGATAACGCCACTTTCGTAGGGATCACGATTGCATTTAGCATATGCAACAAGCCTTTTAAACCCCTATGTTACCTCTAGTGGACGAGTAAAGTCTCGTGAGGGTTTCCAGAACTGATACCAACAAACATTTAGCTCATTTTCATTAAACAGACACCAATATTCCAAACAAGCATTGGGAGAAAACTATCTTAAGTAAGCAATTTTTCAACCATTTACAAACAATCTTCCAAAATCTCAACAACATGCAAGCAAGCATGGTCCTCCACATATCAAGACAATGATCATGCAAGTCAAAACAACTCTAAAATTCTTTTTGAGTGAACCGGCATCAAATATGTTGCTATCTAAGCCAACTAAAGAAATGATCACATCCTTACCCTCAAATTAGCACACAAATCTAATACCGATCACTAAGACAGCGAGTGGACCTTTTATTAAAGCTTTATTGATCTAGGTGCGCTTATTCTTTTCACTCGAATTATTTTTTATTTTTATTTTTTTTCCCTTATCCCTAAGGATCAAAGATGGTAGCATAGCGCAATGTATTGATCTATTAAGTTTTCTAGCGATCCATGAGGTTGAGCGTTAGATAAATGACTCCCAAACCAGACGGCTTTAGGGCATTAGGCATTTAAACACCCCTAAGGACTTACAAGCTCAAATCGACTAGGTTACAAATCAAAACTACCTCCATCTAATCATTTCACACTTCTCACCTTTTGGGAGAAACTCTCACTTTTTTTTTTTCTTTTATATATATATATATATATATATATATATATATATATATATATTTGTTTTTGCAATAATTTCTTATCCTTTTTCTTTTTCTTTTATTTTTTATTTTTGGTATTATTAACCTAGAGTTTGGGCCATCCACCTTTCGGCGCAAGAAATAAAGTGCTTGATGAGGTTAGAATCCCGGCTACTTAGTGATAGGGGTTTGTTATCTACCTTTATCAAGAATGAAAGTTTTCAATGCACTACTAGCTCAATTGGGATATAACAAAATCAATAATCAACAAAGCATGTACCCCACAAATGAATGCTATTGTCTGTCTGTGCTAGTGTAGAATCCTAGAGTGAATCTCAAAACAATCACAAAATCAAGATGATGTGGACCACAAGTGCAAACATGATAACAATCAATCTTTCAAAAAATTTACTCCTAAATGACATTCACAAAGCATACAAGTAGTATTGGACTCTCAAATCAAGCAATTTTTAAATTTTAAGTAATATAGTCCTCAAAAAATCAAAATCATCGCAAATATCGATCTTAAATCTCAATCATGCATTTAAAGCTTAACTTAAATAGAATACAACAAAGTCACCTTACCTCCAAACTTATATCGCACATTGTCCTCAATGTGCAATGAAAACAATGGAAAAGATG